GGCAGCGGTGTGCAGCTCGCAGCCTTCACTTAGGGCCTGGGCACCGCCGGCCACAACACTAATTAGTGGTCAGCCAATCAGAGGCTGACCCATAATATAATAAAGTAAAATAAATCTCAACGCTCTCCTTGAGCGTGGCAACGGTGTGCAGCACGCGGCCTTCGCTTAGGGTCTGGCCACCGCTGCCCTTTACACTAATTAGTGGTCAGCCAATCAGTGGCTGACCCTTAATATAATAAAATAAAATAAAATAAATCTCAACGCTCTCCTTGAGCGTGGCAACGGCGTGCAGCACGCGGCCTTCGCTTAAGGCCTGGGCAACGCTGCCCGCAACACTAATTAGTGGTCAGCCAATCAGAGGATGACCCATAACATAATAAAATAAAATACATCTCAATGCTCTCCTTGAGCGTGGCAGCGGTGTGCAGCCCGCGGCCTTCACTTAGGGCCTGGGCACCACCGGCCGCAACACTAATTATTGGTCAGCCAATCATTGGCTGACCCATAATATAGTAAAGTAAAATAAATCTCAACGCTCTCCTTGAGCGTGGCAGCGGTGTGCAGCACGCGGCCTTCGCTTAGGGCCTGGCCACCACTGCCCTCAACACTAATTNTAAAATAAATCTCAACGCTCTCCTTGAGCGTGGCAGCGGTGTGCAGCACGCGGCCTTCGCTTAGGGCCTGGCCACCACTGCCCTCAACACTAATTAGTGGTCAGCCAATCAGTGGCTGACCCTTAATATAATAAAGTAAAATAAAATAAATCTCAACGCTCTCCTTGAGCGTGGCAGCGGTGTGCAGCACGCGGCCCTCGCTTAGGGCCTGGCCACCGCTGCCCGCAACACTAATTAGTGGTCAGCCAATCAGTGGCTGACCCATAATATAATAAGATAAATAAATCTCAACGCTCTCCTTGAGTGTGGCAGCGGTGTGCAGCACGCGGCCTTCGCTTAGGGCCTGGCCACTGCTGCCCGCAGCACTAATTAGTGGTCAGCCAATCAGTGGCTGACCCTTAATATAATAAAATAAAATAAATCTCAACGCTCTGCAGCACGCGGCCTTCACTTAGGCCTGGCCACCGCTGCCCGCAAAACTAATTAGTGGTCAGCCAATCAGTGGCTGACTCATAATATAATAAAATAAATAAATCTCAATGCTCTCCTTGATCGTGGCAGTGGTGTGCAGCACGCGGCCTTCGCTTAGGGCCTGGGCACCGCTGCCCTTAACACTAATTAGTGGTCAGCCAATCAGAGGCTGACCCATAATATAATAAAATAAAATAAAATAAATTGCAACACTCTCCTTGAGCGTGGCAGCGGTATGCAGCACGCGGCCTTCACTTAGGCCTGGGCACCGCTGCGCGCAACACTAATTAGTGGTCAGCCAATTAGAGGCTGATCTCACTAGAGAAAGGGAGAGACATAAGTAATCAATTTATATTGAAGGAACAGAAGGGCTCGAAAGACCCTCGCTCATGGCTAATATCGTTGCACCGTCAGTTATTCATCAACAAATTTACGGTGGGGGCAAGACAGGATTGCCCAATCAAGACTTTTTAGACTCTAACATATTGCTAAAATTAATAAGTAAATTAATTAGTTTTCTCGACCAATCAGCGAAGGAACTTGTCGACTCTCAGAGGACACTCCAAACCCCATTGATCTCTCGTGATTAGGCCCTTGGAAATGTTACCCAATCACGGGGTTTCATGTTGAGATATTTCAAAATTTAACCGATGTATAAATGAGGGGAAATAAACAAATGAATAAATGAATGAATAAATAAATAAATATAGATCCTTGCGAAATCAGCATGCAGCCTTATTACTAGCCACTTAAACTTTCCCCTAATTAGAACACAGGTCTTATTCCCCCAATATCTGATTTGTGTATGGGATGACCATCTGATTGACTCTGACCTGGTCTGCATCTGATCGACCACGTTTGCACGGTCACTCACCACCCCCGAAAGTAAGAGGCAGTTGCCAGCTCTTATTGAGGCACCTGACAGACTGGTAAATCTGCATGACTAACTGCACAACCAAGTCCTTGCTTAGCTGATCAGCAGATAGTGAATGCTGGCGTCTATTAATCATATCATCCGTTGTACTCCCGGTAGGTAACACCAGATTGTCGCCAGGCTGGTTGATCTGTGGGTGACCATGGTAAAACCCCCATCGCCTTTGCAACAGGTCTGTGGCAGTCCAGCAGGTCGTCAAGTAGTACATGCCCGTCTGCCATTGGTGGCCTAGTAAGTGGTTCTCTCTGCCTGTTGCATGACCTCAATCGGAACTGAGCCCCCCAAAGTCAAACCCTCTTCACTCTTAGTAATGGCCAAGCGGCAATTTTCCTGTGTCGCAGTTGGTTGTTGTGCCCCTCAACAGGTGGCACCTGAGCACGCACGTATGCGCCTCTGAAAAAAATGGGGAAGACACCACCTAAGTATACCAGGTTCAGCGGTATCGCCGCTGGTGCTGACTTCAGGTGCAATACTCCCGTTAGCGGCGCTGGTTTCTAGGCCCGTAGCAGACAAACATAGGCTCGACGGGCACCCTCTGGTCTAGATCCAGGTCTGGCCAAAGTGCATATTGACGCCACTTAGGCTGTTGGTACCGACATTCAGGCCCGGTAATGCTACAGCGGACACAGTTTATCCCACTACAGGCCCACTCCTACAGATGTGGGCACAATAGAACGCTGCTTGGTCCAGGTCCAGGCCTGGCCAGTGCGCACCCAACGCGGCTTAGGGCCGCTTTTATTGAGTCATTATTATTTTATTTATTTATTTATTTATTTTTATTTTTATTTTCATTAGGAGTTGGGTGAACCCTCTTGAAGAAAATCAGCGGTAGGCTTCACCAATCCCACTACGAATAATTAACGTCGTTGAACCCTTTAAAAACCATACCTTAAATTGCGGTCAGGTTTAAATAATAATAATAATAAGCAATAATAAAATTAAAAGAATGGGGTTAGACCGGTTACTTCCACAGAGCGTGTCAGCCCACCAAACCGGTGTGGCAAACTGACACACCGCGGAGGGCCTGAATGTCGGGCCCTCCGACAACGGGCCACCACGCGCACAGACACACACACCCACACCCACCCACCCACACACACACACACACACTCACAAATGGCAATCCCGCCGGCGAGTGGGGGCGAACGTGCGACAGCGGGCGGGCGCAAGTGGTGGTGTATATTTCCGTGTTCTAGTGGGAGAATCATTCGATTCCTCTCCTCCTTTCGGTGGAAGTACCATGAGGCCAGCCGCGAGATTGGAAACTTACCTGTTCTCTCTCTCTCTCTCTCTCTCTCTCTCTCT